GGCGGTGCCCAGGTAGGCTGGCCCTGGTGAGGGTGGCCTCAGTTCCTCCAGCAGGGTGGCCGTTCCCGAGAGAAGTGCTTTCCCCTGCCTTGGAGTCAGAACATCTGAAAATGCGGAAGCCCCTGTGGGGTTTATGTCCGAGTCGATGCCACTCTGTTCTCACGTGACAGGCATTTTCAACTTTCAGATGACCTTGAAAGGTTACATACGCAGCCCTCTGAAACTGGGCATGTCCTGGCCAGGAAAGTGCTCAGACGGCACGTATGTGTTCTCTGCTGTCCCCGCACCGGGCCCGCTCTGCCCAGGGTGTGGATATTGGGGATGTGAGAGCCTGTTGTGGTTTGGTAGAAGAAATTCCTGTCACGTGAGTCCTGGGAAACCTTGTGGCCTGGACCAATGGGAGGTGGCCAAAGACAGACTGGACCAATGGGAGGTGGCCAGAGACAGACTGGACCAATGGGAGGTGGTGGCCAGGGACAGACTGGACCAAGGTGGAGGTGGCAGGAGCCGCTAGGCCTTCAGATTCCTGGTGTGTGTGTGTGTGTTTAACGCTTTTGCCATAGGGCACATGGGCTCACTGGAGAGAGACAGAGGGGAAATGAGAAATCACCTCCCGGGGTGTAGCCATACTGTAGTCCCTTCTCTTCCATTCTCCTCTAGGGATTTTGGGCACACACACACGTGCCCAGTGTAGTTTTCAAGCCACAGGCTCTGGGACTCAAACCGCGGAGGGCGATGTGGGAGTTCAGCACCTTAACCACCACGCCACCTGCTGGCCCGTGGTTGCAATGCCCTGGGAGCGCCATTGCTGTGGCCTGCAACCTAATGTTCCGGTCCAAGCCTTCCTCCCTCCGTGTGCGAGACTCAGGGCAGCTCCCAGCAACACGCCTAGCCCTGTCCAGGCGTGTGCAGTGTGCTCCTGTGGCACTCGGTCACCATGCTGCCACCCGTGTCACCTGGAGTGGCTGAGTGCACAGTATGTGCTGTCACGCCTCTTGTGTCCCACCGTGGTGCATGTGCCTGTCACTGTCCCTGCTCCTGAGAGCTTTAACTCAGAGACAGATCTCGACCTTTCAGGAGTGCGGAGGGGACCTTGGGCTTGGGGACTAACTCACCTCTGCCTCCGTCTCCTCTTCCATCACTGCCCACGTGCTGGCTGGGGTGCCAGGAAGTGTCCACCTGGCCCCGGGGTTAGCATTGCTGCAGTCACAGCCAGCACTCACAGAGGTGCTTGTCCCCTCCAGCCCCATCCCTGCCTGAGGTGCGAAGGGGGAGGCAGCTGGGCGGAGAGGAGTCCTTTAGGGGTGTCCAAACGAGGCAGACAGCCAGGTTGAAGGCGCTCCGGCGGGCAGGTGCTGGGGCGGTGGCTCCTTGCAGAGGAGCGGGTGGTGCTCTGCGTGGTCCCCAGGGACAACTTTTGAGCAAAACCATTCCTTGACAGAGGCGATGTTGACAAGGATGACTTGTCCTTTTATCTGTATTTATTGAACCAATTAAAAAGATTTGCAAGTATTCCATCTTTTCTTCCTCCTTCCTTTTTCCGCATAAACTCAGGCCTGTGGGATAAGAGCCAGGCCGGGCCTCTGTCGAGGTGTGTCCCAGGTGGTGTTGTGCTCCTGGTGGCACGGCTGTCTGTCCGGCCAGCTCAGGCTGCGCTTCTGAGCACCAGGCCCAGGAAGGCTGCTCAGAGGACCCTGCAAGGCTGCGGGGAGATGAGCAGCAAAAGGCCAAGGGGCAAATCCCTTCTCAGAGCCAGACTGTGCCACAGGAAGGCCCGGCTGCTGTGGGCAGTTGCTGTTCCTGCCATTCTGGCTTCTGAGATGCGGGCCCAGCTGCCCAGAGACTCCACACTGCCTGGCGTGGCTTCGGAGGAACGACGGTGCCTTTCTGTGAGAATCCCATGCCTCGAAATGGCATGGAGTCTCAGAACAGGAGGAAAAGGATCTGAAGTCTGACACCACCAGGAAAGAGGGGCCTGACCCCGGGGAACCTGCCCTGGTGGGGTGACAATGCCAAGGCTCCTGAGTGACCAGGCCGAAGGTGGATTTTCCCAGGTAGACTGGCCAGAGCCCCACCATCCAGTTCGGATCCTGCCAGGGCCATTCTGACTGTGGCAGCAGCTTTGGCATCAAGGCCACCTCCCTCTAGACCTCACGGGTCCCGTGGTGTGCACCTGGGGTCTTCATCCAGGGCAGTCCCCTCCTCCTGCCCAGGCTGGCCGCTCTCCGTGTGGGTGTCTGAACGTGGCCACAATGCTTTCCTCTGTCACCATAGGATTGCTTCCATGGCCAGGACCTGGTGTTCAGGGGCCGCCTTGTCCGTGAGACCCACATGCCCACTCCTGGCTGTCAAGTGCCCCCGACCGGCTGGCTATCCTCCCCTGAAACGCCACCTCGCTTGACTGCCACTTTCCAGGGAGCCATGGGGCTGACTGGTGGTCGTCTTGGATCTGCTGGACTCAGTAATCAGGAACACGTGGCCCAGGGTCCCTGCCTCATGGCAACACATCTGCACCCAATACCTCAAAGGAGCCTGGCAGAGAACCTAGACCTGGAAGGCTCCACCTCGTGTCTGGGTCCCAACATGATCCTATGGCCCCCAGAGGTTCCCTGGAGTGTATCTGTCCCTGCTGCTGTACCGTGTCATAATCGTCCCTGGGCCACTTGGGGTGTGGACACAGCACCATCCAGAAAGGGCACAGAGACCCTGCACCCACTGGCCCCAAGTCAGTGAGGGGCGGTCCTGCAAAATGAGGCCGCGCAGGTTCAGCTGCAGCACGACCGCAAACCGGCTCACCTGGCTTGAGACAGCGCCCCGTGCAGGACTGTCTGGAAAGCATGTCTGAACCACATTAACTCAGGTGCTGCGGGCTTTCTGGCAGTTACAGTCACGGCACTGAAGGGAGGGTTTTTTGTTTTGTTTTTGAGAGGTTTTTGCTATAGGGCACGTGCACTCACCAGAAAGAGAGAGAGACAGAAAGCAAGAAATCAGCCCCCAAGGAGATGGCCACGTCACAATTCCTTCTCCGTCATTCTCCTCTTGGGATCTTGGGCACACACACACACACACACACACCCCCAGTGTGAGTTTAAACCACCGGGTCTGGGACTCGAACCACCAAGTACATGGGAGTCCAGCAACATAGCCGTTATGCTAACTGCTGGTCCCTAAAGGAAGCTTTCTTAAAGAGACCGCTGTTTGCCTATCGTTGAAGCAAGGTACTGCCCAAGTAGGACAGCTCTGAGCCTGCTGCAGTCTGGGCCTGGTGTCACACCAGCAGGGGTGACGGGACCTGAGCCACCCTCACAGGGTTCTCCAATTGGAGTACTCGGCATATAGCACAAGGGTTTGCCTACCCGAGTTCCTGGGGGCTCACTCAGTAGAGGCCAACAGTAGGCCAAGGCCGTCACCCAGAGCAATTGCTTTTCCCCGTCGTACCTAACTAAGGGTTCCGTCTGATTCTCTAACACCACACTCCACTATGGCCGAAGGACTGCGATTTCCGCCCAGGAGTTAGGAGGGATTCACCTTTATTTGCACTGAGGTCGCAGGTCAGAGCCACCTTAGCGTAGTGACAAGGGGAAGCACAGACTGGACCATGGTTACTAACTGCGACCTCACCTGCAGCTGCTTCAGGAAAGTGGGGGCACATCATCTGCTCCCAGCAGCTTCCTGAAGGACAAGCGCCGGGCACTCTCCTCCCAGGCACCTCGCAGGCCGCAGAGGTGTGCGTGGTCAGCTCTGGGTCAGGTCTGCTGTCCAAGGCAGGCTCCGGGGGAGTTCCTGAACCTGCAAGGACGCCCTGCCCCGACTCGCCAGCCGCAGCACTGGGGCAGTGCCGAGTGAGAAATTGTGCCCAGGTGCCCCGCACTCCGACATCGGCAAGCTTTGTGGAGCTGCTGGGGCCCAGGGTGTGCAGGGGCCTGAGCTGTCCTCCACCAGGACCCCCTTTCAAGTGACTGGTGGGTTACATAACTTTTTTAGTTTTCTACAGGGTGCAGGCACTCACTAAGGAGAAAGAGAAATCATCCCCCAAGGAAGATTCCCTTCTGTCTCATTCTCTCAGGATTGTGGCATGCACGCACGTGTGTCCTACCAGGCCCAGGACTCGAACTGCAGTTAACCATGAGGGATCCAGCCACCTTAACCTCCGAGCCACTTGCTGGCCCACATAACATGATTTTTAAAGTCGTAGATGTGGGACTGGCAGGTGGCGTGGTGGGTAGAGATGCTGGACTTCCCCATGGCTAACTGCGGTTCACGTCTTAGACCTGGGAGCCTGTTTCTGCATTTCCTCTGGTCAAATTTTAAAACAATAATAATAATAATAAAGTTAAATAAAACAATTCTTTTAAAAACATAGTCATAGATGTAACAACCTAAAAAGCAACCCAAATACCCAATATGCATGTGTGTATATGTACACTACATGTGCGTACATACACACGGAAACCACGAGGTAGTTTAAATCACCGTTAAAAACCGACACCTTCTCTAATTCTTTGTCACAAAGTGGTGACCAGTGGTTGCACAATAACTGCTTGAAGTTAGTGTTTAAATGAAAGCCAGAACTCAAAAAATTCCAGGGGAGCATCACATTTACAAGTGAACAGTAAATACAGTGGCGCGACGGTACCTGGTCTCTGGAAAGGAGGCTGCGGCCACTGGACACGAGCAGTTCGAGGTCTGCGGAGTGCCTCTAAGACTAAGGGCAGAGCCTTCGCGAGCTGGATGGTTTGCTAAGGAGTCTCGATAGATTATATTTTACAGCTTACTTTGCTCCCCACGCTTCTGTGGAGAACTCAGTGCAATCTCTATATACACATTTTCAACATTATTCCTGAACTTCATCTGGAATTCCTTAAATAAAAAAATAAGTCACCATTCTTCACCTTGAGAAAATGCTGGACCAACCCCTTGACAGGAAGTGCCCGTGCTTGGGTTTCTGGAGGAAAAATCCCTCTATCCTGTACCCCTCAGGCCAAAAAAAGTGCAACAAATTCACACGACACGGGAAAAGCAACATCTATTGTTCTTAGAGTCTGACTCTCTTCCCATGGCAAGAAAAGTCTCTTCATAGGTGTGCCAATGCCGTTCCAGGCCGTGCCAACGCTGTTCCAGGCTGCCAGGGATCCGGCTCTCAAGCCAGAGCGGGAAAGTCTTCAGGGTCATCCGGGTTGGGAGCAACGTCTTGTGTCTAAAGGAGAAACGACACCTCTGAAATTGCCAGGTCGGCAATCCCCATTGTGGCCAGCAGGGGACGGCCCCAGGGAAACCCAGGTGAGGACCCAGTGGGGCAGGCGTAAGGGCCAGGGCAGAGGCAGGCCGCTCTGGGGAGCGGAGCATCTGAACCGTGTGCCTGGGGAAAGCTGCGCACCCCGTGCAGGGCTCAGGCATCCCCGCCACCTCTGCAGAGCTTCCCAAGGGCCCCCCCGACCCTGGCACTTTCTTCACCCAACACACTTAACCATGTTTAGGATACAAAGATGGACAGAAGCCGCTCCGGCCAGCAGGAGCTCACAGTTAGGGAGAGGAACACAGGAAGGGGGACTGGGGCCCAGAGCAGGGATGGCCAGTGCGGTCTGATGGCAAAGCAGATGTCGCGGTCAGACAAGGATTGCTGGGAGAGAAAGGCCCCCGAAAGAAGCCTCCAGCAAAGACAATAGGGCCATTCTGGAAGCAGTGGCCTGAGGGGGCCTCGAGGGTGAGGGGCAGAGGGGAGAGGACCCGATAGGACGGGCCTCGCAGGTCTCCCAATGGCCCCAAGGCGCCACACCCTGAGCACCAAGGACAGCTGCTGTAAAGGAACACGTGTATGTTTTCTACCCCCAGAGTCTTTTCCAGGCCTGGCCTCAAATGCGTGGGGAAGGGGCAGGGGAGGGCACAGTGTTGTGCTCTCGCTTTGCTGGAAACTACAGGCACTTCCTCCAGGAACAGCTCCATCTGGGGGTGGAGGGGGTCGGGCAGCCTAGGGACATCAGAACAGCCTGCTCTGCAGGTGGCCCCAGGCTGCGGGCTGGCCCAGGGCTCACGCTGGACCCCCACTAGCTGTTCATAGCATTGTTACTACAACCAAGCCCCCCACACACCCCACATGCTAGGCCTCGAGCCTGGCACTGGGAAACCAGTAAAAGGGCAAAAGCAGCCTGGCTTCTGCCTACCGGAGAGACCGAGAGCGGGCACTGAACGACCACACGCTGAGGACAAGCGCGGGGAGGCGGTGATTCAGAGAAAAGTGTTTTGCTCGAGACCCTGCCTGGTCTCAAGGCGCTGCACTGGGGCCTTCTCTGAGGAAGTGAGCCTGGAAGACCTGTTTCCGGGGGGCAGGCAACCAGGGGGAGGGCCAGCATATGGGAAGGCCCCTAGGTAGGGAGCCCATGTGAGGAGCTGGGGGAGAAGAGGGAGCCTGAGGGGAGTGAGGAGCTGGGGCAAGGAGGACGGGGGACTCGGAGGGCAGGGCGT